GAGGACATGTATCTAAACCATGAGTAGTTATGGGTATTAGTGAAATGACATGGGCATTTTAAGTTTGAGGGGAAAGGTGTGAATTCAGAGTAAGGAGATTCATTGAACTTTAGATCTTCCTATGACCTGGGAGGATAATAAGCTTAAGACAAATACAACAAATTCTTTCTGCCAGGCATCACACTGAAAACATGGCTAATACTTCTTCCCAAGGGCCGTCTCATCTTCACACGTTGGGTATTTGGGTAAGAACCTGCTTGTTCCTTTACCCCAGGAAAAAGTGGAGGAGATGCACAACAGCTGAAGGTAGAAAAGGATGGCCACTGACCGGCTTCTTGCCAAGGGAGAAGCAGATGATTTGATGGACCTCAGAACTGGAATTGGGCAGGATGTGACCACAGATCTGACTGTCCTGGTTCTAGTCCTCTCAGAATCATGGAGGGGGATGCCACTGCATGCACTTTAGGAACATTGAGAAGAGACCTATATACCAACTGACCAGTTGAGACTAGTTATCTGCTCCCTCCCTTCACCCCTGAGCTTGGATACTGGATGATCCCAGACGGGGCCCAACTGGGAACTTTTGTTGGGAGGGGAAGTGGCTAAGTGGTGACCTAGTGAGCATTGGGTAAGAACACAAATGTGATTAGATAAGCAAAGGACTGAACAACGTGATGTCCTAGAGCCAGTTGGGTCTGTGGCCTCAGTGCCAGCCTCCCCTTTACCAGTCTAGAGTGACGTGCCAAATGGGATTTGGAAACTGTTCATCCAAAAGATGAATTCTCCACTTCTCCATTTCTGCCTTCCTGTACTTCTAGCAGGATCAAACTAGCCTGTTGTGTTAATTTGTAAAGCCGATAACACAGTCAGGGAAAGAAAGCTTGAAGCCCTTGCCCCTCTGTGTGTAGGGGGAAAGGACCATTCATCTTCATGAGTGTGACAACACTGCAGAGGACTTTGGTTCAAGCTTCTATGTTGTATGCCAACCTCTCCCCAAAAGAAAAAAATCCATTAGTCACTGTTGAAGGAACCACTGTTGGGGAAGGGGAAAGTATTTTAACATATGTCTACGTGAACTCTAGTTGTTTTAGTTAAGTATGGCACAAAAATCAAACTCAAAGCAACATCCGGGCAGCACTTAGCTGAATTGACAGCATTTGTCCACAGATATCCTATACTTGAGAGACTGGGAAGGCCTCTTCTTGAAATTAAAAAAAAAAAAAATTCACGGACTCTACAATCAAGTATTTTGCTCAGTGAACTACATGCTCCTTATCCAATAGAAAGGCCTAAGTAGCCTTTAACAGTTTCAGCTATAAGAAGATAGAATGCTTGACTGGTAAGCAGTAGCCTGGGGTCTACAGAGTGCAACTGCCCATAGGCCAGCCCTTCCCCTCTTTGGGCTTTAGTCTCCTATTCTGTCACTTTGGGGGTTCAAATGATTAATTTACAAGAAGAAAATGAGACTGAAGCAGATTTGATAGCCGAGAGCTTGGTAACTCTGGATACAACTCTCAGAGATTTTATGCTTCTGAGGCAAATGCTTAGGATGAAATGGGAGAAAGAGGGTATAGCTACATGAGCAGCTGTTTGAAACACATTCCAGGTTGATCACTGGGAGTTGGCAGTAATTGGAAACTTTTTGCTGTCCCTAAGCAGAAGGTGCCTAATAAAAGATGAAAGACTCTGAAATGGAAAAACTTTACCAGGTAAAATTTCAACAAAAGGTCAAAGTGTATTTGCTTTTTTGCTAGCTGGAACTGGCATAGACTTTTGGGCCTACCCTAGGCCTGCATTTTGAGGACTGTTTGCAAACTAAAAGAGCGAGGGCATTCCTTTCACCAGACTCTGCAGCCCATAGATTAAAAACGCTTGTGGGGGCAGGAGCATGTGGAGAAAGAAAGGTTAAATGGAGCAAGTGGTTGTGCCAGAGTAGCAGGTAAGGGATCCATACCCAGGATTGGAGGCTCCAGATGGAGCACTGAAGCCCACAGCAGTTGCCCATCCTTAAAAGGCTTTACTCAGGTCCTCCTCTGAGGACTTACGCAAATAGAATGTCCCCTAAAATGATCCCAGATCATGTATAGGAGCACTGAGCGACTAAAACTCACCACATTCCACACACCCACCACCTCAGCACTCCTGCCACACAGGTGAGATCCATTCCTCCAAGCTTAGAGAGGGAAGCCCTTTGATGAGACACAGGCTTAAAGCAGACTAATTTCATCCAAAGCAGAAACTCAACACATCACAGGGCTTACGGCACAGTCATGTCAGTAGAGCACTCCAGGAATAAAAAGAATAGGCTCAATGCCTGGTTTGGGCTGAGAAAATGGCTTTCAATCTTTTGAGCTGGTCTCTCCAAAGGAGTCAAAGAACCAGGGAGAAATAGTCTAAGTGTAGAACAAGGCGAGCAAGATGGGAGAGGGTGGCCATCTACCCGGCAGCTTGGGGCAAACACCAGAGGCAGAAAGACATTAACGGCCTCTCAAAGCAGTGGTCCTCCCCTGGGCTGTGAACTTTTTGAAGCTATGCACTGTAAGGATGGGTCCACAGTTTTCATCATTCTCAAAGAAGTCTATGACCCAAATACGTTGCAAGACCTGGGAATAAATCTGGACAGAGAAAAATGGGAAAACTGGCCTGTCTTTTGGGGGTGGGGTAGAAGAGTTCCTCAGTTAGTTGCCCTATGTTAAGCCCATACCATCCTGACAGACCTTGTCACTCATTTCACCATCACCACAGCCCAAGAACTTTATAATATTTCCATGTTATGGGTGCGAAGCTTAAGGCTCATGAAGGTAGGTTTCTTCCCTGTATCACATAATGAGGAAGTGACGGGCTAAGAGGACAAGCCCAAGATTGTAAGACTCAGCCTTCTCCCCATATCCTGCCTCACAATGTAGTTCATCTTTTAGGTTTTGTTTTGAAGTCTCGCTCTGTCACCCAGGCTGGAGTGCAGTGGCACAATCTCTGCTCACTGCAACCTCCACCTCCCAGATTCAAGTGATTCTGCCTCAGCCTCCTGAGTAGCTGGGATTATAGGTGTGTGCCACCATGCTGAGTTAATTTTTATATTTTTAGTAGAGACGGGGTTTCACCATGTTGGCCAGGCTGGTCTCAAACTCCTGACCTCAAGTGATCCACCCACTTCAGCCTCCCAAAGTGCTGGGATTATAGGCATGAGCCACCGCATCCAGCCATGTTTTGAAGTATCTTAACTTTTGATTCTTAACAGGCAATAGCAGTATTTAGGATAATAAAGATACAGTCTGGCCAGGCACGGTGGCTCACGCCTGTAATCCCAACACTTTAGGAGGCCGAGGCAGGTGGATCACGAGGTCAAGAGATCAAGACCATCCTGGCCAACATGGTGAAATGTCATCTCTACTAAAAAAAAAAAAATACAAAAATACAAAAATTAGCTGGGTGTGTTGGTGTACGCCTGTAGTGCCAGCTACTTGGGAGGCTAAGGCAGGACAATCACTTGAGCCCGGGAGGCGGAAGTTGCAGTGAGCTGAGATCGCACCACTGCACTCCAGCCTGGTGACAGAGCAAGACTCCATCTCAAAAAAAAAAAAAAAAGTCTGAGTCAGAATCAAAGTTGCTGCTAGCAGGAAGAGTTTCTAAAAACAGATCTCAGATCTCAGATCCCATGTCATGTATGGTACTGACTGAGCTATGACAACTCATCATATTCCACATACCCACTACCACAAGTGAGATCCATGCCCTGAAGCTTAGAGAGAAGCCTAAGAAACTAGAGGCGTAAAACTGCCAACCACACCTACCCCCACCATCTGCCGGTGGGCGAAGGGAAAATGGTACCTTTAATACCAAAAAGATAATTTAAAGGCTTTAGATCAGGGGTAAACCTTTTTTCATAAAGGGCCAGAGTAAATATTTGAGGCTTTATGAACCACATACGGTTGAAAACATTGTTGGCTTCCTGGCACAGAAACAGAAAACTGCTGTGGAGGCCAAGAGATCACCTCATCCGTTTTATAGCTGATATCCCTTCAGGCTAAGGCCCGCCTTAGGAGGAAAGGCAGTAGAGCAAGCTTGTCCAACTGCAGTCCTGGCAGCAAGCGGCCCAGGATGGCTTTGAATCCCACCCAACAAAAATTTGTAAACTTTCTTTAAACATTGAGGGTTTTTTTGCAAACTTTTTAAAAGTTTATCAGCTATTGTAGTGTTAGTGTATTTTGCGTGTGGCCCAGGGAAGCCAAAAGATTGGACACCCCTGCAGTAGAGCATAGCTTTAAGAGCATCACTTGAGTGCAAGACTCCACCATTCACTGCTGTATAATTTCTGGCAAATTACTTCATCTCTCTGTGCCTGTTTCCTCATCTGCCAGATGAGGATACGTTAAAGGTGCTTGTGAAGTTTAACAGTTCATTTGTGTAGCTAAGAAAAGTATTTGAGGCCTGGAGTGCCATGGCTCATGCCTGTAATCCCAGCACTTTGGGAGGCGGAGGTGGGCAGATCACCTGAGGTCAGGAGTTCTAGACCAGCCTGGCCAACATGGTGAAACCCTGTCTCTACAAAAAATACAAAAAATTAGCCGGGTGTGGTGTCTTGCACCTGTAATCCCAGCTACTCTGAGGGTGGGGCAGGAGAATCGTTTGAACCCAGGGGGCAGAGATGGCAGTGAGCCGAGATCGCACCACTGCACTCCAGCCTGGGTGACACAGCAAGACTCCATCTCAAAAAATAAAAGTGTACCTGACACATACTAATTACAATATAGTTACTAGACTTTATTGTTGTTATGGGAGCAGAGGGCCAAGAACCAGCACTCCCCATAGCCCATGTCACCCACAAATGGTTAGCTGCAGGAGTAGCTGCAGCTACTTTCTTGTAGATTATGGAACAAAGGGCGAGCTCTGCTCTTTCACCAAAATCCAAGACCAGGCAAAACTTAAAGACTCATGCTGAGGAGGCGCGCTTCATTAACTTGAATATTTAGTGGTCACACAGGATTCTACTCACAAAAATGTAAAATCACAACAGGGCAGACCATAGGAAGTTTATTGTGTCTTTGAGACACTACAATGCAGACTCCTCTTCCAGAAAAAGGTCTTTCAGAGACAGGGAACCGTCATCCGGATGCATTGCTCATTTGTCATTTTCATAGGCAGCTGGATTCTTCCTCTTGGATTTCTCGACCTCTTCAGTCCCCCATTTGTAGACAAGATAAAACACTACAAACTCTTTAAAAATTAAGAGAGTAAACAGAGCACATATATAAGACATATAGAAGAAAAAAAAAGGTCTCAGTCCTGTTGTATTCTTTAAAGTATACACTTAAGTAGTTCTTAGCATATCCAAGGCCGTGCAACTATCATCACTATCTGCTGCACGTTTAATTCAAAGCATTTCACCACTGGTAAGAACTCGATAAAGATGACCTCAGAGGAACACGCTGGAATCACCCGAGTGACCTTGGGCCAGTCATTTCAGTTCTGTAACTCAGTTTTCCCCGTGTAAGATCGGGAGGATAATATGACCAGCTCAAGGGCGGTCAGGAATATTCAACGAGAAAGGTGTGTACGGCAAGTTACAGAGCGCCTGCCCGGCCGCCAGCGCTCAGAGGGGAGACGCAGGGACTGCTGCTGCTGCTGGGGTTCAGCCTCCCGCTCCCACAGGCCCAGGGCACTCACGCGGCACTATGCGAAAGAAAGACTCCCGAACGCGGCGCAGCATGTTGGGGACTCCTTTACTGAAAACGTGCGGCAAGGCGCGCTGCTCGAAAGGTGACAAGCTGTAGGTGATCACATGCCGAATCCGCGTCAGATTCCCAAACTCGCGGCCCATCGTGGCAACGGCCCTGCAGGACCGAGAGCGGACAGGAGCTTGGCTCGCTTTCGCAAAGCGCCGCAGTCCCCGCGGCGGTCCGTCCCCAACCCCAGACTCCTGCCCCTGGACTCCTTATCCTACCCCAGCCCAGCGGGGCGCCCGTAGCCTCTCAGGGTCCACCAACACTGCACAACCAGCCTCCCACTCACGCACAGGTGTTAGCTCGCCCTCCGCAGTCACCGAGCCGGTTGACTCTTTCGTCACTTCCGGCAAGATTGGAAGCGGCGCTTGGAGGTCGTGAGGTAACTTCCGGGAGATACCATTTTCCTGCTGTCTCTAAGGGGTGATGCCTTTGTCCCAGAAAGAAGTGGCCTGACTGGGTGACCCGTAGGTGGGCGGTGCCTTGGAGGCCCCGCCGGGGCCGGTGGGGTGGAACCTAGCGGAGGACGTCGGGGATTGAACTGACTTTGGGGGACAGTGGACAGGCGGAGGCGCTCACACTTCTCCTCAGCCCTCGGCCTTTCTGTGGAATCCCAGTCAGGAAGCGGCCGAATGCGGGAGGCGGGTGAGGGAACAACGAGGTGACGAGCAAGGGGCCTGCCGACCTCGGGGCCCGCGCTGGCCAGGAGCTTGGGGCCTGCGAGTTCTCCCAGCTGTGGACAGAGCTCCTCTGAGCCCCGAGACCGGACCGCCCCACAGCAAAGGAGCACGAGGTTTTATTTAGCCTTGGCCAGTAACTCAAAGGGGGCTCTGTTATTTTCAAGCCATCAGCGACCCCAGCACCACAATCAGGGACACACATCTAAGGCTTCTCTTGGTAACCTCTGTTTTAGAGTCCACTGGCAGGCTGTAAACGTTCCCAAGAGATAATACAAACGTTTCCTCAAATTCAGCCACAAAAATAATCAAATAATCGTCAACTGATGAATGCTGAGGCCGCCTCGACAGCAGCCAGCGTCCTCCCCAGATGGTTTGCGTGGGGTGGGGAGTATCACGATGCCCCAGTTCTTTCCTCTCCCCACGTGAGAAGCAAGGAACGTCGGGTGAGAGGCCTTACTGTGTTTTCCCTGAAGTGCATTCTGCTTGATGATGCTGTTGTCCTGTACAGCTTGCCATGAGGCGTCTGTCAGTGTTGTTAATGGAATTGCTGGCCATGTTTAATCGAGGACTAAGCTCTCATTCAGCAGTTGGGTGTGTTTTATAACACTGCTTACGGCCCACGGAGGCTCGGCAGGCAGTCAACTTGTATTTTGCAGACATACCTTAGTTTTCTCATATAGGTACTGACAAACTGGCTTTGTATCTTGTACTATGTGGGTTGACTTTCTTCCAGCATAGTCTTCTTCGGGGTAGCGCTGGATATCCCCTCATTTCAGCTTTTCATGGTGCTCCTTTGCCTCATTTTTTAAAACCACAATGCCTAGGCTGGTCTCAGCTCCAAGGCAAGAACAGAATTACAGGTAAGGACAGAAATATTGTAGCGAATTCTACGACCATTTGGGTGAATAATAATAATAAAAAACATTCATTTATTTTATAGCATCTGCAAACATCCGAAAACCTTTCAATCAAAGTATGTATAGATGAGTGTGCAGACCACAGTAAGGACATCAAGTTGTTATATTTAAAATTAAGTCAAGGTTAAAGGCGATGTCCTCTTTTAAGAACATTGCAAGTAAAATTCCAGTACTCCAAGTACATATTCTGTACCCAGCCACCTGGGAGGACTGAGAAACCTAACGGTTTTCTGCTCTCTGGAACTTCTATGCCAGTTGTGACTTTCTCACCCCTCAAATTAACATGCAGCGAATAATTACATATTGTAAACACCTGGAAGTGGAAGGGGCCGTGAGGATAAATTGAGAGGAAGAGTAACCTAATACCATAAGTTGCATACCAACAGATCTGAGTATCATCATGAATAATTGGTTAGCTTTTCCACATGCCTCAGAAGTTTCAGCAGGCACCTTGCAAACATCTTAATCCAAATTTCTTTAAAAATGAGAGATTTTATTTAAGATCATTCCTCAATTTATCTTAGACTTTCAGCTACATAGCTAGTCCGGTAGTATAACAATAACAGGTTTTAAGAAATGCCAGGGGAAAAGAGAGGAAAGCTAAATAACCAAATAAATCTGTCTCTAATGAACTAATTGGCTAAATAAGGTGTTATCAGCTGCTCGATATACAGCTGATAAAAATCATCTTCAGCTAGGCATACTTGAGGCCTGATTACAGAAGCAACCCTAGTCCACCCACACACCTGAAATTTATTTAAAAGACCAAGCTAGGCTCTTCCTGGCTTTTAGGAAGAGGACTGGCATGGAGAAATATGTTCCTCACTAGTTCTCCCAGGCCATGGCGCTTCCCAACAAATTTCTCCTTTGGTTTTACTGCTTTGCCTGGCTGTGTTTTCCTGTTAGCCTTGGTTCTCAGGCTTCTGGGGGAGATGCTCAGATTGCTGCTAGTGCTGAGTTGGAATCTGGGGTTACACCTTGGTCCTTGCTGCAGCCTATAGATGAGAGAGACAGAGCTGTCCTCCTTCCCCCGCTTTTCAAAGTTCTATCTGTTGGGCGAGGTGGGGCACCTAGGCTGCAACCAGACTCCAGAGCTTTGCACTACATGAAGAATCTCTATAAGACATACGCTACCAAGGAAGGGATTCCTAAATCCAATAGAAGTCACCTCTACAACACTGTTCGGCTCTTCACCCCCTGTACCCAGCACAAGCAGGTTCCTGGAGACCAGGTAACAGGTATGTAAGAGCAGATTGGTTAACTGGGTGGAGGGAAGATGATAGACACTTCTGCATTTCAATTACAGAAAAGAGCTGAGCCTAGTTCCTTGAATTGCATTTTATTTTGCATAAAACTCAATATCCAGTTGAAACAAATTTGGGACTTGAGCTTATTGTTTCTTCCTAATGCTCTCATTGGTTAAGGTGGGCTAATATGATGGAATTTTAAAGCAACACCAGAGACTTAATGGCTTTCAGGGCTGAGGGGAAGTGCTGCTAGAGAATGTTAGCATCTCTTTCTAGTCCACCAAGCTTTTGGGCCAGGAATTGGCCTTAAACTTCTCTTACAGCTATTGGTGTGACATGTTAAATAGGGTATTTTTCTCGTTTGTTACTTTCTGTGAGAGAAAAGCTTAAAGTTCCCATTTGGAAGAGTCAGTGCTTACAAGAACAAAGTATCAGTCCACAGTTTCACTCAGCAGTTGGGTGTGGTGCTTTAAAAAATTATAATGTAGTGAAACCCCGTCTCTACTAAAAATACAAAAATTGGCTGGGTGTGGTGGCGCATGCCTGTAGTCCCAGCTACTCGGGAGGCTGAGGCAGGAGAATCGCTTGAACCAGGGAGGCAGAAGTTGCAGTTAGCCGAGATTGCACCACTGCACTCCAGCCTGGTGACAGAGTGAGGCTTCATCTTAAAAAAATAAATAAATAAATAATTCTATCTACTAGCTCTTGATTTAAAACCATTCTAACTCAACAGGGTAGTTGTATCTGCTTAAAACCCTTTCTCCTTCCTTAATATCATATTTTAATGCAGTGGTTTTAGAGCATCCGTTTTTCCTCTCAAGTGTTCTAAATTAACTAGGACAATTACATTGTTTTAAATTGACTTTCTTCACTAGGGCTTAGAATGTCATCTTAATAAGTCTGATAAGTGTTTTTATTATGGTTTTTCCCTCCTTAAAAAGACTATCCAAGAAAAAATACTAACTTCCCCCTTTACAGCTGCTTTCTGTGTTGGCGCCAAATTGGCTCAGAAGAAGCTTCAGGCTGAAGCGCACAGGTGGCTCATGCCTGTGATCCCAGCACACTTTAGGGGATTGAGGTGAAGAGATCGCCTGAAGCCCAGAAGTTCGGAACTAGCCTGGGCAATATAGCGAGACCTTGTCCTACAAAAACAAAATAAGTATGGGCGGTGTGGCCCCTCATGCCTGTAGTCCCAGCTACCCTGGGAGGCTTAAAGGTGAGAGATCAGTTGTCCTGGAGATTGACGGCCTGCAGTGAGCCATGATGGTGCCACTGCATTCCAGCCTGGGTAACAGTGAGACCCTATCTCAAAAAAAAAAAAAAAAAAAGAAACTTCAGAATGTAGTGCTTCCCTGTTACTTTAATTCACCATCAAATCTGACTTTCTGGAGATAAAATGTCCAGTATGGTTGCTGGGAGTTAGTAATGGTACCAATTGCCTGCCTTTTCTGTATTAACCCCCATTTTTTTTTTTTGAGGCTTGAGAAAGTGGGGGAAAAGAGAAGGGAGAAAGCATAGCATATTACGAAGTACTATTTCTTTGACTTGACTACCTGTTATGTTGACTCATATTCAAGCACTACTGGTAGATTATTTTTCTTCTTAGGAATCCTTCCATCAGTGGACCTGTTATTTAACCTGGATCGCATTACTACCGTTGAACACTTACTCAAGTCAGTCTTGTTGTACACTATCAACAACTCAGTTTCTTTTTCCTCTGCTGTCAAATGTGTGTGCAACCTAATGATAAAGGAGCCAAAGTTTTCTAGCAAGACTCTCCACAGAGCTCCGTACTCATTTACCTTTAACTCACAGTTTGAATTTGGAAAGAAACACAAATGGATTGAGATTGATGTGACCAGCCTCCTTCAACCTTTAGTGGCCTCCAACAAGAGAAGTATTCATATGTCTATAAATTTTACATGCATGAAAGACCAGCTGGAGCATCCTTCAGCACAGAATGGTTTGTTTAACATGACTCTTCTGGTTCCCCCGTCACTGATCTTATATTTGAATGACACAAGTGCTCAGGCTTATCACAGGTGGTATTCCCTTTACTATAAAAGGAGGCCTTCCCAGGGTCCTGACCAGGAGAGAAGTCTGTCTGCCTATCCTGTGGGAGAAGATGCTGCTGAGGATGGGAGATCTTCCCATCACCGTCACCGCAGAGGTCAGGAAACTGTCAGTTCTGAATTGAAGAAGCCCTTGGTCCCAGCTTCCTTCAATCTGAGTGAATACTTCAAACAGTTTCTTTTTCCCCAAAATGAGTGTGAGCTCCATGACTTTAGACTTAGCTTTAGTCAGCTGAAGTGGGACAACTGGATTGTGGCTCCACACAGGTACAACCCTCGATACTGTAAAGGGGACTGTCCAAGAGCAGTTGGACATCGGTATGGCTCTCCAGTTCACACCATGGTACAGAACATCATCTACGAGAAGCTGGACTCCTCAGTGCCAAGACCGTCATGTGTACCTGCCAAATACAGCCCCTTGAGTGTTTTGACCATTGAGCCCGATGGCTCAATTGCCTATAAAGAGTATGAAGATATGATAGCTACAAAGTGCACCTGTCGTTAACAAATGGTCCTCTTAAAACCTTGAGCCTATTTGGCACAGTAACTACTGTGTGCCTATGTGTGCCTTCAAGAGAAAGCTTCGTATATTAAGTGTCTAAATGCAGCATATGTTGTGTAAAGAGGAACCTGTGTAGATTAGTACCTTCTATGGCATCTATCAGGATAAAGGGATAACATCAATTGTTGCTACAGAGCCTTTTTTTAATTTCCAAATTTAAATGAAATATAATTATTGTGGAGAACTTTACTTTTTTTTCCTTGAGCGATTTCTTTCTTTTCATAGGAGTCTTATTCTTGATAGAGAAACATCCTTAATTAGCATACATCCTGGATGAACTTGCAGCTATAAATTGGCAATTCAGATTGCTGTAGTCTTAATGGAAGAATAAATTTCTGTCAATGGCATAAATTTTGTCTGTGTTTCATTAAAGATTGCTTTTAAGTGATCATCTGGGGGAGAGAGGAAGTGTCTAAAAGCTGGCCAGAGCTCGACTTTTGATTCTTTTTCAGGGTGAAAGGGAGGCTAATGTCACCAAAATTCTCATGAAGTTGAGACTCACTAGGACTAGAGAGTAGGCAGTATAACCCATTTCTGTTGCTTTAGTGTGATTGGTGAACAGTATACTAATTCTCCTTGTTAACTAGCATATATAAATCAATCGAGTCACATAGAACAATATAACATTTGCCCCCCTCATGGAAATTGCCTTGCATGTTTTTCCAAGAAAATCTGTGTAAAAGACTTTGTAAGTATATTTTTTTCTTTATATATTTAAAACCTCTGACCTTATGAAAGGAAGCCAGGGAAGGCTTTTTGTTTCGGTTTGGTTTTTGCTGATTTGCTTAGCTCCCTCCACTCTACCCCCACAGGTTTTTTTTCCAGCTCAATTTAGAACTGTTCCTACTAAGCTTGCAGTAGTGACTGGTTATGTTACTGACTGGGTCTTGTGTGGATGCTAGCGTTTTTATGTAGGTTTTCAATATATCTATTTTGAGAGAGCCCTGGAGGCACAGAGGTAGGGTTGATATTGTGATTTTGTGTTTTGAGTTTCTAAAACCTTGATGTATAAACGAAAAGTAACTCCTAGGTGTAATAAGTACTTTTCATTCTTGTCAATGATCTTTTTTAGGTGCTATTTTTAGCTTCATTAAATATGCACATACCATATGATTTACCCATTTAAAGTGTACATTGGTTTATAGTATATTTATAAACATGGGACACCATCACCATCGTCAATTTTAGAACATGTTCATCTCCTCAAAAAGAAACTCTATACACTTCAGCTATTACTCCCCTGTTTCCCGTCCTGCCCCTCTCCCAGCCCTCAGCAACTACGAACTTGTTCATAGGTTTCTGATTCAGAACTTTCATATGAATGGAATCATACAATAGACTGGCTCCTTTCACTTAGCATGTTTTCAAGGTTCATCTGTGTTGTAGCATATATCAGTACTTTTTTCTAGTGACTGTATTTCATTATATGGCTATACCAAATTTTGTTTATCCATTTGTCGGTGGACATTTGGGCTGTTTCCATTTTTTTAGCTCTTACAAATAATGCTGATAAAATTCATGTAGAAGTTTTATTTCTTTGGGGTACATACCTAAGAGTGGAATTGCTAGGTCATATGGTAACTCTACATGTAGTCATTTGAGGAACTGCTAGACTGTTTTGCAAACCAACTGTACCATTTTACATTCCCACCAGCAATGCATGAGGGTTCTGATTTCTCAGCATCCTTTAAACACTCATCTGACTTTTGGGGGATGTTTTTATTTTTATTTTCTATGGGTATGTAATAGTTGTACATATTTATAGGGTGCGTGTGATATTTTGGTATAAGCATACACTGTGTAATGAACTTACTCTTTTATTCTAGCTATCCAAGTAAGTGTGAAATGGTATCTCATTGTGGTTTTGATTTGCATTCTCTTGATAACTAATGATGTTGAGCATCTCTTCATTTGCTTATTAGCCATTTGTATATCTTTTTTAAAGAATGTCTATTAAGGCTGGGTGTGGTGGCTCATGCCTGTAATCCCAGCACTTTGGGAGGCCGAGATGGGCAGATCACGAGGTCTGGAGTTCGAGACCATTCTGGCCAACATGGTGAAACACCATCTCTACTAAAAATACAAAAAATGATCTGGGCATGGTGGCACATGCCTGTAGTCCCAGCTACTTGGGTGGCTGAGGCAGGTGAATCACTTGAACCCGGGAGGCAGAGGTTGCAGTGAGCCCAGATTGTGCCATTGCACTCCAGCCTGGCAATAGAGCGAGACTGTCTCATAAAAAAGAAAACACAAAAAAAATCTATTAAGATCCTTTGCCATTTCTAATGTGATATGTTTTTTTGAGTTGTAAGATTATATATCTAGATATAAGTTTCTTACCACTTTTCAAATATTCCTGATTCTGTGGTTCGCCTTTTATTTTTATGTAAAATATATATAACAACATTTAGTATCTTTTTTTTTTTTTTTTTTTTGAGACAGAGTCTCTCTCTGTGCACAAGGCTGAGTACATGGCACAGTCTCTGCTCACTGCAAGCTCTGCCTCCTGGGTTCACACCATCCTTGCTGCTCAGCCTCCCGAGTAGCTGGGACTACAGGCGCCCCCACTACGCCCGGCTTATTTTTTGTATTTTTAGTAGAGCGACAGGTTTCACACCGTGTTAGCCACAATGGTCTCAATCTCCTGACCTAGTGGTCTGCCCCGCCTTGGTCTCCCAAAGTCTGGGATTAACGTGGGGAGCCACTCGCCTGGCCACTATCTTAACTACGTTTTGAGTATACAATCAGCGGCATTAAGTACATTCACATTGATTTCCAACCATCACTCTACTATCTCGAACTTTTTCATCATTCCAATCTGAAACTCTACCACTGTAGAGTAAAAAAAAAAAAATCCCAACTGCGGGGGCAACAGAAAGTTTTTTGCAATGTTACCATAAAAAAAAAAAAAATCTCAGCTGGGCAACATTGCAAAACTCTGTCTCCACAAAATACGCAAAAGACATTACTGGGGTATTGCGTACCAGCTGTAGCCCAGCCTTACTCCAGCGAGGCTGAGGCAGGAGAATGGCATGAACCCGGGAGGCGGAGCTTGCGATGAGCTGAGATCGCGCCACTGCACTCCAGCCTGGGCGACAGAGCTAGACTCCGTCTCAAAATAAATAAATAAATTAATTAAAAAATCCTCATTTCTTTCTCCTAGTAACCACTATTCTATTATATCTCTACAAATTTGCTTGTTCTAGGTACTTCCTATAAGTGAATCATTCAGTATTTGTCCTTTTGTGTCTGACTTCACTTAGCATAATGTTTTCAAGGCTCATTCATGTTGTAGCATGTATCAGAATTTCATTCTTCATTAAGTCTGAATAATCTGTTGTATTCATACCACACTTTGTTATTCATCTATCAATGGACACTTGAATTGTTTCTACCTTTTAGCTATTGTGAATAATGCTGCTGTGAACATTGGTTTACAAATATCTGTTAGAATCTCTTTCAGTTCATTTAGATCTAATCTTAGAAATGGAACTGCGGGATCACATGGTAATTCTTTGTGGCTGTGGCATTTTACATTTCTACCAGTAAATTACAAGTATCCTAATTACTCTACCTCATAGCCAGCACTTGTAATCTTATTTGCTTTTTAAGTATATATATTAGCCATCCTAATGGCCATGAAATGGCATCTCATTGTGTGTGTGGTTGTTTTTTTATTTTGTTACTTTTAGAAAGTAAAAGAATAGTTACTCCATAGGCAGAGTAGCTTCATTGTGGTTTTGATTTGCATTTCCCTAATAATTGATGATGATGGGTATTTCTTCATGTGTTTACTGACCATTTGTGTATCTTCTTTGGAGAAATGTTATTCAGAGCTTTTTTTTTTTTTTGGGTTGGAGTCTCTGTCGCCCAGGCTGGAATGCAGTGGCACGATCTCAGCTCACTGCAACCCCCACCTCCCGGGTTCAAGCAATTCTCGTGTCTCAGCCCCCTGAGTAGCTGGGATTACAGGTGCACGCCACCATGCCCGGCTAATTTTTGTATTTTTGGTAGAGATGGTATTTCGCCACATTGGCCAGGCTGGTCTCAAACTCCTCACCTCAAGTGATCTGCCTGCCTCAGCCTCCCATAGTGCTACGATTACAGGCGTGAGACACCACATCCAGCCCTGTCCATTCTTTGGGTTACCTTTTCACTGTGTGTGTGTGTGTGTGTGTGTGTGTGTGTGTGTGCAGAGATGGGTTTTACCCTGTTGCCAGGCTGGTCTTGAACTCCTCAGCTCAAGCAATCTGCCCTCCTCAGCCTTCCAAAGTGTTGGATTACAAGCGTGAGTCACTGCACCCAGCCCCTTTTCACTCAATAGTCCTTTGCACAAAAGTTGTCAATTTTGATTAAATCTAAAACATCTATTTTTCAATTTTTTGCCTGTTTTTGGTGTCATATCCAAGGAATCATTGCCAGATCCAATTTTGGGTTGTAAAATCAATATCATGAAGATTTTCCCCCTATGTTTTCTTCTAAGAGTTTTCCAGTTTTAGCTTTTACTTAAGTCTCGAATCCATTTTGAGTTAATTTTTGTACATGGTATGAGGTAGAAGTCCAACTGTTACTCTTGCACATGATTATCTAGTTGTTTCAGTACTATTTGTTGAGATGACTTTTTCTCCCATTGAATTATTTTGGTCCTCTTGTCAAAAAAACAGTTGACCAGGCTGGGAGTACTGGCTCACAGCTGTAATCCCAGCACTTCAGGAGCCTGAGGCAGGAGGATTGCTTGAATCCAGGAGTTTGAGACCAGTCTGGGCAACAAAGTGAGACATCATCTCTACAAAAAATAAAAAAATAAAAATTAGCTGGGTGTGGTGGTGCACACCTGTAGTTACAGCTATTCAAGAGGCTGAGGCAGGAGAATTGCTTGAGCTCAGGAGGTTGAGGCTGCGATGAACTATAATTATGTGCCTGTACTCCAGGGTGACAGAGTGCAAGACCCTGTCAAGAGATATATACGCACACTCATAGTAGATCCGTTTCGGAGAAATGCCATCTTTAAACATGTTGTCCTCCCAGTTCATAGGACATGAGCTTTTCATTTGGTTTAGAATAAATATCTTTTTTCTTTTTTTCTTTTTCCTTTTTTTTTTTTTTATGACAGGGGTCCCTCACCTCTGTTTACCAGGCCTAGATTGCCGTTGTGTGATTCGGCCTGTCGCTGGCAGCCTCTCTCTCCCAGGCCTCAGGTGAATCTTTCTCCACTTAGCCTCCAGGGAGACTTGGAACTGTCAGCATGTACCACACCATCTGGGCAAATTTTGTGTCTTTTAAGTAGGATGGGGGTCCTTGCCCATGTGCCCAGGGTTGGTCACAAATCCTGGCTAAAGTGGATTCC